TTCACAGGGCTCTTTGGGGATGCCTTGGCTGCAGTGGGGGCAGCTGGAGCTGGTGGAGCTGCAGGAGGTGGGGTGGCAGGAGCTGGGGGAGCAGCACCAGGGCTCTTGGGAGCAGTTTTGGCTGCAGGTGGGGTGGCTGGAGCTGGGGTGGCAGGAGTTGGGGTGACAGCAGGGGCAGCACCAGGGCTCTTGGGAGCCTCCTTGGCTGCAGGAGGGGCAGCTGGAGCTGCTGAAGCTGCCACAGTCAGCGTGACAGGGACAGGGGGGGCAGTGGCCGGGCTCGCAGGAGCTGGATTGGCTGCAGCAGAGGTGGCTGGAGCTGCCATGGCTGGTGTGACAGGGACAGAGGGGACAGCTGGGGCAGTGAATGGGCTCGCAGGAGATGGTTTGGCCACAGAAGGGGTGGCCAGAGCTGCCATGGCTGGTGGGACAGGCGGGGAGCTGGCAGGGGGGACAGCAGGCACAGGAGCTGCTGGTGGCAACAGGGGACTCACTGGAGCTGGTGGCCCTGGGGGAGACACAGCAGCCCCCAGAGCAGGTGTGGCCATGGCAGGAGCCACAGGAGCTGCCACAGGAGCTGCCTGAGGGTCAGGGCTCCCAGGAGGGGTCCTGGCCACCGAGGGAGGGAGCAGGTGTCCCACAGCTGGGACCACTGGGGCAGGGCCCACGGGACAGGCTTTGGCAACAGACGGACCAACTGGGACCAATGGAGAGACTGGAGCACCTGGGACAGCAGGAGGACACCCTGGGGACATCCCAGCCGGCAGCAGAGGGATGGGGGGTGACAAGGGGGCCTTGGGGGCAGCCAGGAAGACGGGTGGAGAGATGGCACCCAGGGCCGGGCACTGGGTCAGAGCTGGGGCCTGGGGACAGGCCGGAACAGAAGGCAGAGGAGTGGAGGCAGCACTGCCAGGAGACACCGGGACTGCCGGGGCCACGGCAGGGCTGAGAGGGGCTGCAGGAACGGGGGGCGAGCCCGGGCTCTGGGGACTCACTGCCATGGCGGGAGCAGGCAGGAAAGTGGGGGACACTTTTGGTGGGGGAGATGCCACAAGGGGTTGGGAAGAGGGAGGCAGGAGAGGGGCCGGGGCTGCTCCAGGAGCAGGGGGAGGGACTGGGGCTGCAGCTCCTGCTGGGCTCAGAGGGACAGCAGCAGGAGCAGCTCTCACAGGAGAGGCGAGAGCAGCGGGAGCAGCAGCCAGAACAGGGGACACCGGAGCCTGGGGTCCTGGAGATACCGGGCTATCTGGGGCAGGCCCTGGAGATCCTGGGGCTGCAAAGCCCACCGGGGACGGCGGAGCCGGAGGAGGGGAGGTGGTGACTGGGCCCGGCAAAGCCGGGGCAGGGGGCTGGGGAGGCACAGAGAACACGGGGATGGCCGCAGCCGGCACCACGGGGGGGGACACAGGGGTTGGGGGGCCCGGTAGAGCCGCGGCAGCAGCGCTGGGGGGCTGCGCTGGGACAGCCTGGGCAGATGGAGATGGAGTCAGAGGTGGGGAATGAGCAGCATGAAGAACAGCTAAAGGAGAGAAACAGAGTGAGCCATGAGAGGAGGGAGGCAGGGAAGGAGGGAGTGGCCAGGGAGCCTGCCCTGGCCTTTCTCCCAGCTTTGGTGCCCAGCCTCTAGAGCAGCAGGCACTGCCCAGCCTGCCAGGGGCCACACAGACCGGGACACTCGTCCCTTCCAGAAACTGCCACCTATTTTCCCAGGAGCCCTAGAATGGCAGGAGGCACCAGATGAACCACCAGGAAGCCCCACTAGGCTGGGGATGCAGGGACCTGGCTCTGCTGCCAGCTCTTCCCCACCGAAGGAGTTGCCACAACCTCCATGGAGGTCTGGCGGGACCCCCAGGGCTGCTCCCACGCCTGGGACCACACGCCAGGCTGGTGGGAGCAGGGAGGGACAAGGACCCACTGGAGGAGAGGAAGGAAGTCAAGTGTAACCCACTGGCATGCAGAGCTGTTCCTGGGAGCCCCCTCCCTCCAGCCCTGGGTGACACAGGCAGGTGCCCTGAGGGGACAGGGACACCGAGGCAGGGGATGGTGGGTCCAGGACCCCCAGAGCCCCCCAGGAGCTGTTAGGGTTAATGGAACTGCAACCCCCGGAACGGCACACGCTGGTTAATGCGGCACACGAGGGGTTACAGGAGGGTCCCGAGTACCTGGAGCAGGGACGGGAGCAGGAACGGGGGCAGCTGGAGCTGGACGGGGAGAACAACAGTTTATTAAGGCTCGTCCCACTGACTGGGAGTGCTCGGCTTCCAACTCCCTGAACCAGTGCTGAGGGAGCCTGGAGAGAGGCCTGCCAACCCCAACACAATTCCCAATGCCAAGCAAAGGGCACTGCTCAGGGCAGAGCCTGGAGAGAGCCCTGCCATTCCCAATGCCAACCCAAGGGTGCTGCTCAGGGCAGAGCCTGGAGAGAGCCATTCCCAATGCCAACCCAAGGGTGCTGCTCAGGGCAGAGGCCGCGGTTGCTGGGAGGGCAGTGCTGGTCTGACCAGTGTGACCGGCCCTGCCGGCGTTGGGAGAGCAGAACCGGCCCGGCCGCGGTGCCGCCCCTGCCAGCGCGTCCCGGCACGTCCGGCGAGGGCAGCGGGGCCGGGGAGGATCCCCAGCAGCGCCGGAGCCAAAGCCAGCCCAGCGTGGCCCTGCCCGGCTTCCCCGTCCCACCCCCGGGTCGGGGTCACACCCCTGTGTGGAGCCCTTTCCCTGCCCCAGGAATGCTGTCCCAAGAGATGTCTCTAATGCCTGGAGTGGGCATCGGTGCCAGGACAACTCCTGCTCCGAGGAACACCCTGGTGCAACAGGTCCTGCCAAGGGCCCATCATGGAGCTGTGCAGAGCTGCCTCCTCCCAGCAATCCCTCATCCCTGCTCCTCTGCCACCTCCAGCGGCACCCTTTGAGGGCATTCCCCACAAACACCACCATCCCCACTCGTCACCCACAGCCCCACCTCTCCTCGGCCCCTTCTCCAACAAAGCCGAGCCACGGGACTCCCAAAAGGCACAGGATTCGTAAGGGATGCTCAAACCACCTGGGGGGCAGAGCCTGCCAAGAGCTGAACCCCTGGACCAGCCCCATCTCCGGGGCTTTTCAGGAGACCAGCCACTCTCCACGGGACGAGACAAAATCCACAGAGCTGCCCCAGGGCTCCCACGACACCGTCAGAGACGAGAGCAGTGGAATTTTGGGAGGAGGGTATGAGCTGACAGCGAGGAGGAACAGAAAAGCCTTCCCAGGGAGGGGGCCCCAGGCAGGAATTCCAGCTACGAGGAACCAGGAGCTCCCCGGGAATCCTCGGTGCAGCTGTCACGCCAACAACTGTCACCCGGCTCTGCCACCGACCACGGGGAGCCCCCAAATCCAACGGGAGCCCCCAGATCCAGCAGGGAGACACCCCCAAATCCGATCGGGCAGCCCCCACCGCTCCCGTGACTGCGGTCACGCTCCCCGCGGGATAACCCACGTGCTCTCGGGTGGGAAACCGAACGGAACCGGCACGGATTTGTTTTGGCCGCAGCAAAGGGACACTGAGGAAGAGCGGGGCCGGTGGAACGGAGATCCCAAACCCCCCCGGCGGAGGTGACAGCACTCGAGCCGGCGTCGCTCGCCCACCGCCGGGTCCGCGATCCCCTCCCCGCCCTCACGGGGGCTGCAGCGACCCCCTCCCGCCCTCAGGTCCCGCCGGGCGCGGCAACCCCGGGAATCGACCCCAAAACCGTGACCCCCTCCCGGCCTCAGCCCCAGAACCGCCCCGGGCTCACCTGTCTCCGCCTGCGGCTGCGGCAGCTCCTGCTCCGTGGCCGGGACGGTTTCTGTGGCTTCGCCGGGCATTTCTGCGGGAGGGAGGGACAAACCGACAGGCCCGGGCTCGCCGGGGCTCCGGGACAGCCCGGCGGGGCGACCCCCGGGCGCCGGTAACTCGCCCTCCCCGCATCCCCCTGCCCCGGAGCACCGAGCGCCTCCCGCTACCGTGACAATCTACCGAGACAACTCCCCCGCACGACCCGGGCCGAGCTTGAGCTCCGTCCCGACCCCGGGCCTCGGCCGCCCCCTTCTCCCCCTCCCGCCCCCGGTGCGCCGGGCTGCCCCCCGGCACGCCCCCAGCCGCATCGCCGGCCTCCAGCGGGTCCTCCCGGGCGCGCCGCGGCCCCCGCGGCGGCGGGTGGCGGCGGATGGCGGCGGATGGCGGCGGATGGCGGCGCGGGACTCACTGTGCGGGGAGCGGGGCCCAAGATGGCGGCGGAAAGAGACCGTGAGGGGAGCGCGGCTTCCGGGAGCGCGGCACTTCCGGGGCAGGGGGGAGCGCCCGGCAACGCGGCCCGGCCCCTCCCCGCGGCCGCGCTCCGGAGTTCCGGGGGCTGCTCGGGCCGCCCCCGCTCCGGGCGTGGGGACCCCTCCGGGTGAGGTGGGACCCCCGTGGGAGGGGAGCCCCGGGCGTGGGGATGAGGTGCCGTGAACGTGGGCCCTGACCTCAGCAGTGGGTAGGGGGTCGGTCAGGGCAGGGGGTTTGGGGGGGCAGAGACACCCTCTCGGTGCTCCCCACGGGGATGGGACACAGAGCCCAGAGAGACCCCACACACAGACCCCAGACCCCACACACAGAGCCCAGACAGACCCCACACACAGACCCCAGACAGACCCCACACACAGACCCCACACACAGACCCCACACACAGAGCCCAGACAGACCCCACACACAGACCCCACACACAGAGCCCAGAGAGACCCCAGACAGACCCCACACACAGACCCCACACACAGACCCCAGAGAGACCCCACACACAGACCCCAGAGGACCCACACAGACCCCACACACAGACCCCAGACAGACCCCACACACAGACCCCAGACAGACCCCACACATAGACCCCACACACAGACCCCAGAGAGACCCCACACACAGACCCCACACACAGACCCCACACACACAGACCCCAGAGAGACCCCACACACAGACCCCACACACAGACCCCCACCCACCTCGGGCACAGCACAAGGGTGACCAGAAAGGTTTAATGGTTTTTTTGTAGAAAAGGTACAAAAGAGTACAAAAAGTGGAAGGGGCTGTGAGTGAGAAACAGGGAGCGGGTGCAGGTCGGCTGCTCCAAGGCACCAGGACCCCCATGGGTAGCGGAGGTGACAATGACAAGCACAGAGGTGACAAAGTCCATCGGTCCCTCGCCATCCCTGCATCCAGGACCCCTGGCAGCAAGGCCTCAGAAGTCTCCTTGAAGGTCTGCCAAGAGGAGGAACAGGAGATTTTGCAGAAAAAGAGCCATTTCTCAGAGCCAGGGGGTCTCCCCCAGGCCGGCACCCACCGCTCCGGCGCAGCCGCTCCCCCCGCCGGGCGCTCTCCATGCCCTCCACGAACTGCTCGAAGACCCTCACGTAGGGAGCCAGGCTCGTCCTCTTGTAGTCTGGGGGTTGGGGGAGTGAGAAGGGGTGCTGGGAACCCCCCCCACCCCAACCCTGCTCACCCTCACCCCCACCCAGACCCCCCTCACCCCTCGCCCGCCGCTTGGGCTCCGTCTCCCCGCCGTCCTCCTGCTCCCCATCGCTGCCAGCCGTGTCCAGCTCGTGGCACAGGGACCTGGGGGGCAACCGGGCCGAGGTTTCGGGGCTGCGGCGCTGCCAGGACCCCGCCCCCGGCGCCGCCGCCCCCGCTCACGCACGTGATGGTGGGGACGGCGAACGGGTCAAACTGGTCCAGCGTCTGCAGGTCCAGCGGCACCGAAACGCGGCCTTGGGGACGGAGAGACAGACACGGGGGGGGTCACCGGGGGGCCGCCCCAGGGGTCCCGCCGCGGGGGTCCCGCCCCACACCCACCCGTCCTGGGGTGGACGCTGAAGGGGCTCTTGAGCAGGTGTCCCAGGCCCTTGCTGACGTTGATGTCGAGGCGGGGGAAGCAGAACTGCAGCATGATCTCCCAGTCGGCGTAGCAGGGCGCGGCGCCGCGGCCCCGCGTGCGCTCCATGCAGCCCCGCAGCAGCTCCCAGCGCTGCGCCGAGTCCTTCTTGCGCGGGAACTCGGCCCGCAGCGCCTCGCGGTGCTGTGCCGCCCGTCAAGGCTCACCCGGACCCCGCAGACCCCCCAGAGACCCCCCCCTTAAGGCCCCACAAGCAAGGATATCCTCCGGCACCAGGGCCAGCACCTTGTCCCACCGCTCGGGGCTGCCCAGGATGTCCTGCCCCGCCAGCGCGTACTCCTCGAAGTACTCCTCCACCACGGCCACCGAGCGCCTGCGGGGAGCAGGACGGGCTCAGAGCCCGCCGGGGGCTGCGGGGCCGGGCCAGGGGGTCCCCACCCACCTGATGAAGGGGTGCACGGGGTAGGAGAGGTTCACCTTCTTCACCGTCTCTGCTCCGCCCTGCGGGGACAGCAGTGCTCAGCCCGGGGGCGGGGCAGGGGTGCCTGGACCCCTGTGCACCCACTGTCAGCGGGGTCAGGGGTGCCCAGACCCCCACACACCCACCTTCACCAGGGTCAGGGGTGCCCAGACCCCCACACACCCACCTTCACCAGGGTCAGGGCATCCCAGACCCCCACACACCCACCTTCACCAGGGTCAGGGGCATCCCAGGCCCCCACACACCCACCTTCACCAGGGTCAGGGCATCCCAGACCCCCACACACCCACTTTCACCAGGGTCAGGTACTCCACGGTGGCCGCCCGCAGCGCTGGGGACCATTTCCTCACCGCGTCGTCGCACACCCAGCAGTGGACACCCCTCCGGCCCGAGTACACCCACAGGCGATGCCTCACGCCCAGGTCCTCTGCAGGGGAACAGACAGGTTTGGGGGCACACTGGGATGGGCTGTGGCAACCACCCAAAGCCGGCAGTGCCACAAACCCACCGGGCACCGGCGCGTCCCCAGCCCCGCCAGAGCTCCACCCCGGCCCTTCTTTGAGGTCTGGGCATCACCGTGGGGCAGAGCGTGGTCTGCATGTGCACAGGGGCCCACGTGTGTCCCCTGGACGTGCACAGGGGTCCACGGGTGCCCCCCAGACCCTCACCCGTGAGCGCGCGGTCGATGACGCGGACGGCGATGGTCATCAGCGTCCAGCACTTGGAGCAGATATCGGCTGAGCTGGGGGCAGAGTGTGACGGGTCAGGCGGCCTCCCCACACCCCCAGGCCCCTTCCCAGCCCAGAATTCCCCCCCAGGAACCTGCAGCACGTCCGCACGTCGTCATAGTCTGTCATGTCGATGTCGAAGACCAGCTCCTTCTCCTGCGGCTGGAAGGTCCCCAAGCGCACCGTGTTGTGCTGGCTGGGCTGCAGGAGGGACAGGGCGGGCTCAGTGAGTCAGGGACCCCCACGGACCCCCCAGCACGGTGCCCGGGGCTCACTCACCCGGACGGAGTAGACGGCCCCGATGTCGATCTTGTAGGGGTTGATCTTCTGCAGCTCCCGCTCCAGCTCCTGGGGGCTGCTGAAGGACTGGAACCGCACGTACACGTCGTCCCGCAGCGTGAAGGAGAATTCCCGCAGCTGGAAGTAGTTCTTCACCACTGCGGGGGCGCGGGGAGGGTCGGGGGGGAGTGACAATGCCCTCAGCACGGTACCGATGCCCCCATCCGGCATCGGTGCCCCCCATCCCGTATTGGTGCCTCCCGCCCAGCATCGGTGCCCCCATCCCATCCCGGTGCCCCCCATCCCGCACCGATGCCCCCCATCCCATCCCGGTGCCCCCCATCCCATCCCGGTGCCTCCCATCCCATCCCGATGACCCCCATCCCATCCCGGTGCCCCCCATCCCATCCCGGTGCCTCCTATCCCATCCCGGTGCCCCCCATCCCGCACCGGCGCCCCCCCCGCTCTCACCGCCGCCGTAGCCGAGCCAGCGGCCGTAGGGGCCGTGCGGGAAGAGCCGCCGGTAGAACACCGGGAGCAGCTCGGGCAGCGCCGCGGGCTCGAAGGGCGCCATGGCGGGAGCGGAGCGCGGGAGGGCCCGGGGCCCGCCGGGAGATGTAGTCCGGCCCCGGGGGCGGGACGAGGCACCGGGGGAGTCCCGGGGATGCTGCGGGGCGATCCCGGCGCGATGAAGTCCGGGGATGACCGGGGTGGCCCGGGGTCCAGAGATGTCCCGGGGACGCGCCGGGTCCGGCTGGATGCCGGGACGGGTGTCCCGGGGGTGTCTGGGGGTGTCCCGGGGGTGTCTGGGGGTGTCCCGGGGGTGTCTGGGGTGTCCCGGTGCCCGGGGGGTCCCAGGGCGGCAGCGCAGCGGTGCGGGAGCCCCCCGGGCGCTGCCCCGCTCCCGTTAAGGATTCCCCGCAGCAGCGGCCGCAGCGCAGCCCCGGGACCGGGACACAGACCGGGGCAGAGCCCGCGGCTCGGCGGGCTCCAGGCGGCAGCACCGGGACGAGCCCGGGGAGGGACGGGGGGACGGGGCGGAGCCGCCCCCGCCTCTGCCGGGAGGCTCCGCGGCCGCTACGCGATCCTTGTCCCGGGGGCTCCACTAATTAATCATTAACAGCGGCGCGCAGGCACGGCCAAGGTCGGGACGAGCCGGTCCCCTTCGCAGCCCGCATCCCGGTGCCGCTACCGGTGCCGCTGCCGAGGATGTGGCTGTGCGTGGCGCTGGTGCTGGCGGGGCTGCTCCTGCTGCGGCGCTGGCACCGGGAGCGGCAGACGGTGCCGGGGCTCTGGGAGAAGCACGTGCTGATCACGGGCTGCGACAGCGGCTTCGGGAACTTGCTGGCGCGGCAGCTGGACGGGCGCGGGCTGCGGGTCCTGGCCGCCTGCCTGAGCGAGGCCGGGGCGGCGCGGCTGCGGGCGGCCACCTCACCGCGCCTCCAGACCGTCCTGCTGGACGTCACCTCCAGCCAGAGCATCGCTGCTGCCACAGCCTGGGTGCGGGAGCGCGTGGGTGACCGAGGTAGGATGGGACAGACACCCCATTGTCACCCCGTCAGACCCCCAGCCAGCTGTGCTGGCCCAGCCAGGGCTGGGCGTGAGGCTGTGGCACAGCCCCAGCTCATCCCCTCCCCTCTGCAGGGCTCTGGGGGCTGGTGAACAACGCAGGGATCGCCATCCCCACCGCCCCGAACGAGTGGCTGACCAAGGATGACTTCATGAAGGTGCTGGATGTCAACCTGGTGGGGCTGGTGGAGGTGACGCTGAGCCTGCTGCCGCTGCTGCGGCGGGCGCGGGGCCGCGTGGTCAACGTGTCCAGCGTGATGGGCCGCGTCTCCTTCTTCGGTGGCGGGTACTGCATCTCCAAGTTCGGTGTGGAGGCCTTCTCTGACAGCCTCAGGTGAGCGTGGCTCAGCACCACGCTGGTTTCCCAATTTGTTTCTCTGGACTTTGCCTGACACAGCTCTCAGTCCCCATCTGCGCCACCACGGCCGAGCACAGGTCGAGTGGTTGTAGCTGCTGCTGCAGTGTCAACAACGCCTGTCCTGGCATGGAGCCTCCCTGTCGGACCTTGCCCCCGCCTGGGATCTGTTGGGACGCGGCCCTGCGGTCCTGAGCTTTGCTTTGTCCCCAGCCCAGCCCACCCAGATGTGGCACATGTTTGCTCACGCTCTGCCTCAGCCAGGTCATGCTCAGGTCGTGCTCTGCTCCTCTGGCACGAGGCTGCCATGCACCCCGTGGGAGAGGCAGCCGTGGCCACGTTCCGGTGCTGCTCCCGCGTCCCACGGCACTCCATCCCTTGCAGGCTCGAGATGCGCAACTTCGGGGTGAAGGTCAGTGTGATCGAGCCGGGCTACTTCAAAACCATGATCACCAACGTCGAGAACCTGGAGAGGAATTTTCTTTCCGCCTGGGAGAAGCTTCCGGAGGAAATCAAAATGAGTTACGGGGAGAGTTACTTGAAGCAGTGTGAGTACCTCTCCCAAAGGCTGAGTGATGCCGTTTCTCTCCTGGCACGAGTCATAGCCCCAGAATCAGGGGGGTCCCACGGGGGTCCCACCACCCCCACACCCCACCGAGCTGCTTGGCTCCAGGGTCTCAGTGACATTTTCTGCCTCTGCAGTTGTGGCATCACTGAAGGTGATGCAGAAGGGCTACAGCACCGACCTGTCTCAGGTCACCAACTGCATGGAGCACGCGCTGACCAGCCTCCACCCCCGTGCCCGATACTCCGCCGGCTGGGACGCCAAGCTGCTCTACATCCCCCTCAGCTACCTGCCCTCAGCCCTCACGGACGCCGTGTTCTCCCAGTTCTACCCCAAAGCCGTGGGGAAAGCCTAAGGCAGGGGTGCCAGGCTGAGGCACTGCCATGCCTGAGCCGGGGCCTGGTGACGTGCGGTGGGATCTGACGGTGCGAGGTGGGATCTGGCATCGCCCTCAACCAATGCCACGCTGAGGTCCCTAAGGTTGTTCCCTGCCTACAGATAGGTTTGTCCTGAATAAAGACCCCCACACACGCCCTCCTGGCACAGTGTGATGTCACCCTCAGGCTGTGGCACCGAGGATGTGTCATGGGGGCTCCCGGGGGCTCTGGCTCTTCCCCCTGTGCTCCACACAGGGTTTGGACCCTACCGGGGGTGCCCCAGCTGGACTTGTCCAGAGTGGCACTCCAGGGATTAACATGCACAAATCAAACCCACGCTTCTTCCAACCTGGGCAGATTTGCCTCTGGGCACTGGGCTGGGAAGCCTCTAATAGCGTCTTCCTCCTCCTCCTCCTCCTTCTCCTGCAGAACTCCTCAGTGGGGGCTGCCCCACTCCACTGCCATGGTGGGGGACAAGGCCGGGCAAGAGGGAAAGATCCAAGGCTGGTGCTGGAGGGTGGCACTAAATCCAGCTCTGGGGGAGAGTGGCATTCACCTGCTGAGGGCACAGCAGAGCCTCAGGGGCAGGGAATGGTGCAAGGCAGAGCTGGGAATTGCAAACCAGGAAGGCAGAATTCGCCCCGGGTTCTGCCGCAATCCTGGCTCTACATAAACGGCCTGAGCGCCGCCGGCCCAGGCTGTCACCGAGCGGTGCCGCTGCCGAGGATGTGGCTGTGCGTGGTGCTGGTGCTGGCGGGGCTGCTCCTGCTGCGGCGCTGGCACCGGGAGCGGCAGACGGTGCCGGGGCTCTGGGAGAAGCACGTGCTGATCACGGGCTGCGACAGCGGCTTCGGGAACTTGCTGGCGCGGCAGCTGGACGGGCGCGGGCTGCGGGTCCTGGCCGCCTGCCTGAGCGAGGCCGGGGCGGCGCGGCTGCGGGCGGCCGCCTCACCGCGCCTCCAGACCGTCCTGCTGGACGTCACCTCCAGCCAGAGCATCGCTGCTGCCACAGCCTGGGTGCGGGAGCGCGTGGGTGACCGAGGTAGGATGGGACAGACACCCCATTGTCACCCCCACTGTCACCCCACCAGACCCTCACCCAGCTGTGCTGGCCCAGCCAGGGCTGGGCGTGAGGCTGTGGCACAGCCCCAGCTCATCCCCTCCCTTCTGCAGGGCTCTGGGGGCTGGTGAACAACGCAGGGCTTGGGACCCCCATTGGCCCGAACGAGTGGCTGACCAAGGATGACTTCATGAAGGTGCTGGATGTCAACCTGGTGGGGCTGGTGGAGGTGACGCTGAGCCTGCTGCCGCTGCTGCGGCGGGCGCGGGGCCGCGTGGTCAACGTGGCCAGCGTGATGGGCCGCGTCTCCTTCTTCGGCGGCGGGTACTGCATCTCCAAGTTCGGTGTGGAGGCCTTCTCTGACAGCCTCAGGTACAGCACTGGTGGCCCCGGTGCTTCCCTGTGCTGGCCCAGCAGCCCCTGCTCTGCCTCACTGCCCCACAGAGGGTTTAGGGTGGCTCTCGGTTCCATCCTTCCCCCAGACCTTGTGAAAGCCTGACCGGGCCACGGGGTGGGAACTTGGGCACAGCAGGAGCCACAGTTGTGCAATCAGGTGAAGGGTTTCGAGGGACTCTTGAGCAAGGACAAGGCTCCTCTGTGCTCACGTTGGGGTGCCTGGTGGGGGGTCACGGGCTCCCCCTCGCTCCCCCAGCCCTTGCCCAGCTCGGGACAGCTCTGGCTCACGTCCCCACCTCGGGCAGGCGGGAGATGCGTCTCTTCGGGGTGCAGGTCTCCATCATCGAGCCCGGTGGCTTCCGGACGGCGATGCTCGACCCCGTGCAGCTGGTGAAGGACTTCACGCGCCTCTGGGAGCGGCTCCCGGCAGAGGCCCGGGCAGCCTACGGCCCCCAGTACCCCGACAGATGTGAGTCCATCCCCACCATAACCCCCGGTGACCCCAGTGTCACCAGGCTGACCCCGCTCTGCCCACCCAGTTGCCAGGAGCGCCGTCCTCGTGCACCGCCTGAGCAGCTCCCGCCTGTCCCCCGTCACCGACGCCATGACCCACGCGCTGCTGTCCCGCTGCCCCCGCAGCCGCTACGCCGCGGGCTGGGACGCCCGGCTGCTCTTCCTGCCGCTCAGCTACTGCCCGGCCTGGCTGTCCGACACCCTCCTGGGCCTCCTGCTGCCCGCCCCGGCCCGTGGGACCCCCGCACGCCCCTGAGAACGGAGCGGGACACGGACACGGCGCCCGCTCCTGTGCCTCCAGGATGGTGCTCAATAAATCTGGTGCAACGCTGGGGCTGCTCGTGGTGCCTCTGAGGTGTCCAATGGCCCCCTGGCCACGGTGCTGGGTGACTCCCCCCGGCAGGACCCCGTTTGCTGCCTGTGCCCAGAGCAGCCACGAACCCAGGGATGTCCCGGCTCAGCCGGCAGGGAACGTGCTGGGAAAGGCAGGGTGTTCATCCCTCCCCTGGGCACGTGGGTGGTGATCCCTGCGTCACTCATCCCGCTAATTAAGGGCAGATTAGCGATGGGTAGCTGGGGGGCAGGTCCCTGAGGTCGGGCACTAGAGCAGTGTTAACAGCAGCCCCCACACGTCATGGTCTGGGTGTCCCCAGGGCCTGGGGTCAGCGCGATGAGCTCCTGGGAGGTGGCACTGCGGCCTTGGCTGCACCTGCCCCGGGACACCTGTGCTCACATCCCATCCCTCTGGCAGCATCCTGGTCCTTCTCAGTCCAGGAGTTCTGTGTGGAAATTCCCTCTGAAATAGAACCAGCACAGCATGCCTTCCCTCTCTGATGGAGAAGGGGGCAAAGACCCCCAGCCCGTCAGTGGCAGAGCGGCTCCTCACCACCCTGGTGGCCTCAGCCGAGCCAAAATGTGCCCAGGGTGAGCACGAAGCTGCCAAGTTCCTGTTTGGAAACTGGACCCTGGGCCCTGCCAGAGCCAGTACCTGCACACGGGGTCACCAGGCTGGGCTTGTTGTTGCGAGACCCGACTTATCAGTGCCCTCGTGCTTCCCCGCTCCGGCCATGCCTTCCTTCCGAGCCGATTGTTCATCCCAAAGTCTTGTCTGCACTCGAAAAAGGAGATTTCCTGCAATTGTTTCACAGGACTTGCAGCTCGATGCAAAATTTTCTGCCTATCAGCCCCCTCCCCAGCACCAGGGCAAGGCTCGAGCCCCCTCCCTTCCCCTGCCAGACTGCAGGGCAATCACAGCTCCATGATTAATTGCTGCCCCGGCCAGAGGTGCTTCTGTGGTGACATCCATCTACCATTGGCTCCTGCTGCAGTGCTGCCTGGGCAGAGAGTTCAGCTTTCAGCCCCTTTCCTGCCAGATGAAGCCCTGAGCTCGCCTCGGTATCGTGGTGGCACTGGGGACAGTCGGTGGCACCTGTCCCACAGCCCATCCTTGCAGGCATTCCCAGTGCCAGGGTAGCACCTGGCCTGGAAGAGCCCATCCCAGAGGATGCATTTTCCCTACAGCAGGACCCAGGCAGGATCCAGCCCCCGAGCCCAGCAGGGACATCGTGGAGGGGACCCTGCAGAATCCTCGGGGACCTCAACTGCACGCCCCGGCACCTGCGGCTTCCACCCCGACACCTGCCCAGGGCCTCCCTGTGCCCAGCCCTGCGGCCAAATCAAAAGGGAGCCGAGCCCTGGGGCTGGAAATCCAGTCAAATGTCACCCAGGCTGGGCTGTCTCAGGATGTTGGACCACGACGGTCATTTCCTGCCGGGAAGTGGCCGCCAAGCCCACCCCGAGCTCCGCTCTCCAGAGGCGCGAGAGCCGCTGAGCCGAGAGGATCCCTGAGCTCCCGAGCAGCCCCTGCACAGCCCTCGCTCTGCCGCCGGTGAGCAGAGCTGTCCCTCTCCCCTGTGTCTGTCTGTCCCTTCTCCTGTCCTCCTGTTCACTCTCCCATCCCCCTGCCCCCTCTCCCATCCCTCTGTCCCTTTTTCTGTCCGTGTGTCCCCTCTCCCATCCACCTCTCCCCAGTCCCACGGGTCTCTCGGGACCTGCAGTGTGGGGAGGGTGGGAGGTGGGAGGTGGGGAAGGGCATGTCCAGCCTCTCCACTGGAGGTTTTGGGAGTGGGTGGGTGTCAGCCCATTGCCACAGGGGTGCCACCATGCTGGGGGACACTCGGCTGTGGCACTCCTGACTCCCCAGGGTCCAAGTTCCACAGGAACACCCCGGCAGCCCAGCACGCTCCTCCGGCTTTCCCGAGGGAACGGCTGGTCCTGAGCTCTTCTGGTGCTCCAGGGCTGGATGGGTTCTGTGGCATCTTTGCCGTGCTGATGCAGCTGTTCTGGGATCAGAGATGTCACTTGAGGCAGCAAAAGGATGTTGAGGTCAACTGCATTTCCCTTAACTTTATAATTTTGTCACCTACTTGGAAGTCCCGACAGCTCCCGGCAAAGCAGCTGCTGGACGGGCAGAGCCGGTGAGAGACCACACTCCGAGGGCTCAGGAGGGGAATGGGGCCTTTCCTGCTGGAGTGGGGTCTGGACCACAGCCACCGGTGTGTTCAGTGTCCTGGGCAGCTGCCCATGCCCCGGGCCAGGCTGTGGGACAGGGGCAGCCACCAATGGGGCTGATGTCTGTGCCTGGCATTTAGTCTGGGACGTGAGGGGATCACCTGGGCAGACATGGCACCTTTTGAGGGTTGATGTAGGGAGTCACCATAGGACTAAAAGTCGGGTTAAAGCCCCCTGGAAGGGTCTGAGCCCCATGCAAGGACCGAGTTCTGTGTGTTCTCAGTGTTCTCCCTTTCCCTGCAGCACCAGGATGGCTGAGATGACCACGACCCCCACTGAGACACACACTGTCCCGAGTGAGTATGGGGACTACCACAACTGGTCCGAGCTGTTCCACCTCCTGAACCACACCTACACCTACTGCGAGTTCAGCCTGGACGAGAACATCAAGCGGGTGATCCTTTTCATCCTTTACCTCGTCATCTTCGTGGTGGGCTTGGTGGAGAACCTCCTTGTCATCTGGGTCAACTGGCAGACACGGGGCAACAAGAGCTTGGTCAACCTCTACATCATCAACATGGCCATCGCTGACCTGGGGGTGATGCTCTCGCTGCCCATCTGGATGCTGGAGGTGATGCTGGACTACACCTGGCTCTGGGGCAGCTTCCTCTGCCGCTTCACCCACTACTTCTACTTCGCCAACATGTACGCCAGCATCTTCTTCCTCACCTGCCTGAGCGTGGATCGCTACGTGTCCCTGACCAGCTCCTCCCTCTTCTGGCGCCGGCACCAGCACCGCGCGCGCCGCGTGGCCTGCGCCTGCAGCTGGGTCCTGGCCGCGTCCATCCCGATCCTGGAGGTCGTCCACATGCAGCTGGTCAACACCGGGGAGCCCATCTGCATCTTCATGGCCCCCTTCGAGACCTACGACGAGTGGGCGCTGGGGGTCAGCTTGGCCACCACCACCGTCGGCTTCCTCGTGCCCTTCCCCATCATCGCCGTCTTCAACGTGCTGACCGCCCGGTTCCTCAGGCGCACCAAGCCGGAGAGCCGGAAGCACTGCCTGCTCATCTACGCCTACACCGCGGTCTTCCTCGTCAGCTGGCTGCCCTTCCACGTCGTGCTGACGCTGCTCACCCTCGACGGCAACCACATCATCCTCAACTGCACCTTCGCCCACCTCCTCTACTTCTTCTACGACATCATAGACTGCTTCACCATGCTGCACTGCGTCATCAACCCCGTCCTCTACAACTTCCTGAGCAAGAACTTCCGCAGCAAGCTCATCTCCGCCGTGGTCAGGTACATCCCCAAGGACCACGGCGCCCAGAAGGGCGCTGGCAACTCCTCCTCCACCACACAGCACTCCATAGTCATCTCAAAGGACAACCACCCCCCCAACTAAGCGGGGCCGGACTCTCCCACCCCCCGTGGCGGCAGCAGCGGCTCCCTGGGGACACTGGGATCGGTTTTCCTGGTGATGAGGAGACACTTTGCTTTGGCACAGCCTCTCTTGGCCAGGCAGGGCAGGGTGCCAGGCACGAGGGGAGGTGGTGCAGGAGCTACAGACATCTTTCCTCTGGAGTGCTGCTGTGTCAGATCTATTTAGCTGAAGAAAGAGTCAGAGAAAGAGAGATTCCCTGTTCCCCAAACAAAATCTTGGCAGTAATAAAGTAGTGAGTTGCTCCACTCAGGGTCCAACACAACCCCGCCCCTGGGATTTGTCCCCTGTGCCCCCAGACTGTCCCTGACACCCCAAGCAGGAGGGAGGGAATCACCCCTTTGGAACACAAAGCTCCCTCCTCGCCCCCAGCAACGTCCAGAGCGTGATCGTGGAGAGATGAAGGCGAGGCAGCCGTGGGGGCTGAGCAGGGCACAGAGCTGAGCTGGGACGAGGGGAGGAGCAATTGGGATTCGAGATCAGCAGCTCGATCAGTGCTGGTTAAACTGGGTTTGACCAGGCAGGGCTGCTCCAGACTAAGGGCTGGGAGCTGGGTTTGGGTCTCCCATCCCGTTAATCCAGCCTCCTCTGGAGCGTTCCCTTACTGGTATTTAAGGTCCCTGGGTGCATTTCTCAACATCCCAAGAGGCTCCAGCAGCAGCCCTTCCCCTCCCATCCAAGTCCCCGTGGCAGTGTGGACACGTGCAGAAATCCTCGGAGCTGGAGAGAGGGCTGGGCCTGTGCTGTGCAAGGAACTGCAGCATCAGAGAAAGTTCATCCTCCTCTGGAGTCTGACCTGTCACGTGCTGCGGGTCGAGCCCTCGGCGGGGGGGGGTGACAGAGCGACAGGCTCCGGGGTCCATAAATCTACCAAAGGCCTTGAGCTGCTTGAGAAGCACGTGAAAAAGCAGAGCATAAGCAGTTCTGGGGGCAGGATGCTGGTGGCACGGGGAGGAGGGGGGAGCAGGATGTTCTGGGAGAAGCCCAGGACCGGCAGTTAACACGGATGTGGGGTTATCACGGGGCTCACTGACTCTGCCAGTTCCAGGGGTCCTGCAATGGGGTAAATCCATAAATACCACCAGGTTCCTTCTGCAGGGACATTCCTTCATCCCCCAGGGACACCAGCACTGAGGGTCTTACACGGGAACACTGGGAAGGCACCGGCCCCTCACCACAGCAATGCCCTGTCCAGGGCAGCAGCTCAGGCTGTTCCCTTCCTTAATTCTGTTACTGCCCCGGGCTGAGGATGAACTTGGGGGTCTTCACCCGCAGGACCCCACCACCTTCATCCCTGAATCCTCCCTGGGCTTCTCATTGCCAGTTCCCTGCCCCTTCCAGTGAAGAAATGGAGGGCAAATACACAGCAACAAACCAACCTGATGTGTGACATGACCAGGGCAACAATATATTCAACTTACACCAACGTGTAAAATTTGGTATTTGACCCATTAAACTTTATTTTTAACTCTCTTAATTTATCTGCAACTTTGTCCATAGATCTCAGGGCCAGAGTGGCCCTTAATAACCCACCCCCCAGCCCCAGGTGGTGACCCAGGCTGGCCCCCAGCGACTCCCTCGGCCTCCCTGCAAAGCCTCCTGTGGGACACACGGGCTGCTTTACCCCCCAGACCACTCATGGCTCATCCAGGCACACAAACCCTGGGATTCCCCGATGGGGGGGGGGCTCTGCTCCCACCCTGCTGCTGCAGCCCCCCCTCCTCCCTCCCCATCCCACGGGAATGCCACGACCCCTTGCCCTGTGCCACTCCCAGTGCTGGAAGCCACCAGGAAGAGCCCTGGACCTGCCCCAGGAATCCTGCTGAGCACAGCAGGGGAGCAGGACACGGGGATGGCCTCACGTGCTTCCCAGGCATTCCCGAGGATGCACACGGGGAGGAACAGGTTCCACAAAGAGGCAGCTACAAGAGGTCAACGTTTTCCGTTTTTATTATTCTAAATAAAAACCACACTTTGTGCTGAACAATGGAGTAGAAAAGAACCCGATGTACAACGATTTTAGACATCTACGATTTGGGGGGGGGCAGAGTTTACAAAATATACAAAACTTTACAGCAAATAGATAGTAAACACTTAAATAGCAGGAGGTCAGTACCTACGATTAACTTAACGAAAAGGTTAGACAGCAAATTCAACCCTTGCTCTTTCTTCTGCTTCATCACTCTGATGAGAGACCTGGATCTGTTGGGAACGGGGAAAAGGAACTCTGTGTTGGGGGTGGGCTCGGTGCAGGCCCCAGGAGGGGGATTCCCTGTCAGAGCTCCCTGGGAGGCTTCAGGACCCGGCATTTCCTCTCTGCATCCCCCTCAACTACCCCAAAGCACTTGGCAAACCCCTCAGGCTGGCCCAGGGGAGGTAGGTGGGTGTCCCTGTGGTCACTGAGGGGAGCAGGGACAGCAGGGAGCAGGTTTGCCCACAGTGGTGGAGCAGGAACAGAACCAAGCACGGAGCAACCGCCCTGAGGCTCCCAACACGGAGCTGAGCGTGGACCTGGAGCTCCCAGCTGGACAAGGGGACAGCAGTCACAGGGGTGACACCCCTGCACAGGACCAGGACCCTCCCAGGGGAGCACTCAGGTCTCTGAGCCCTCTGAGGAGGAGCAGAGGCAGGTCCAGACCTGTCCCCCTGTCCCCTGCTGCAGGATGTTCCACATGGGAATGATCCACTGTATCACAGGCAAGCAGAAGTTCCAGGGATGGGAGCTGGCTCCTGCTTTCCCCCCAGGGCTGGTTGTGCCCCTTAAGTGTTTCAGTGTCAAAGCTTCTCTTTTTGGTTAATGTGCACAAAAGGCTTTTGCTTCACAGCTTATTGAGATCCAGGGCTGCAGGTGCTGTGCCCCGACCCTTCCCAAAGCTCACCACGGCTTCTGGAACGTTCCAGGAGGGTCTCAAGGCTCTCCCAGCCTCCTCTGTCCCTCACATCCTTCATTGCCACCTCCAGAGCAGCACAGGCCGTGTCCATCCCTGTCCCTGCCCTGAGTCCTGATCTCGAGGGGACCCTGTGTGAGCACAGGAGGGGACTGGGTGACCTCCAGTGATCCCTTCCAGCCTCATCCATCCCATGATTCCATGAGAGAAACCCCAGAACCCAAAGAGCAGCTCAGAGGAGCCCCCATCGAAGCACCACCAGCTCCCCCAGTTCCCAGAGCCCCAAGCTTTCCCAAAACAATCCTTTTTTTTTTGTAAAACGTGACCACGCTCAGCTGGACACGGCTCTGCAGCGATCCCAGACCTGGCACCGCGGCACCGGAGCTGGGAACCCAGAGCTGCAGCAGCCAGGCCAGCCTGGGCTGACCTGTGCCCCCCTCCTCCCACCGCAGGCTCCAGGCACCCCCCGCTCCCGGAGGTAGGTCGGTACCAGGGGAGGTACCACCCTCATTTTACAGATGAGGAAACTGAGGCAAAGAGGTGAAGGGACTCGCCCAAGGCCCTGGCGGCGCGGGGGGAGCGACCCCCGGGCGCTCCGAGCTCTCGTCCAGCCCCCGCCGCGGGACGTCCCTTCCTGGGGGCCCCTTCCCAGGGGAGGGGCAGCAGGGTGAGTTTTCCCAGGGTTTGCAAATCACTAGTTTAGTTTAGTTTAGTAACAGCAAAACTTGACAGAAGCGCGGGAGCCGATCTGCGACCACCGAGAGCCCCCGAGCGCTTCCTGTTTGTGAGGTAGAATGAGTTCCCGAAGGGCAGCCCGAGCTCGGAGTTATCTGTTCCTCCCCACCTCTGCCCCGCAGCAGGATAACATGGGAAAAAGCCAATTCCCACCCTTCCTGGTGTAAACACTGTCAGCACGGGCTGAGCTCGCTGGTGGGGCCAGCAGAGACCCCCCCAGGATCGCCCAACGCGGGGCTGGGAGAGCCCCCCCTGCCAAGGGACGCCCAACTCATGTCCGGGAGAGCCCCTGTGCCCAGCAGTGCCTGGCACGTGGCCAGAGAGGCCACGCTGAGGTCCCCAGCAGCCGCCACTGCTGCGGCTCCCGCTCCGGGAACAAACCCCCATGGCTCCAACAGCGCACGTTTGCCACCAGACACGTCCGGGATGTGGAGATCCACGGCGGGGGAGGGAGGATCCCTTCAGCAGGAGGAGGGCCCTCCAAGGTACCTTCCAGGGAGTTAAGGCAACAGCTTCATCACGTCCCACCCGGCAGCCCCGGCACACGGCAGAGCCAGGGGATTCCAGCAGCTCTCCATGGCCACCACCAATCACCTGCCAGGAGCACGGACCTGCTTCCCCTCCCTCTCCAGCCCAGAGGCTCCTCTGAGAGATCCCTGTGCTCGAGCAGCCGCCTCCGCTCGGGCTCTGCGGGGAGGTTGTGCCGCTCCATCTCCTCCTCAGGGCGCGAGCGAGTGTGGCACAGCCACGGGAACCCAGGAATCCCCCTCCTCATCTGCACACTCACACGCTTCCTGCTCCGCTCCCTGGCGAGCCAGCGACGGCCAATCCCAGGACACACCTGGCCCATCTTCTGGTAGTAGCAGCAGAACCCCAGGGGTGCCCAGAATGTCTTGTCTTTCTTCTTTCTTTTTTGTTCCTTTCCTTCGAGTCCAGCACCCGCTCTGGCTCTGTCCCTCTCCACTGAGGTCAGGTGTGAAAATCTTAGCAGCATCAGTTTGTGGGACAATCTCAGGGTTAGCCTGGTTGAGTGGGCTAGAAGGCTCAAAAAAATAGAATCTAGACTCAAAAACTAGTGAGAAATACTAAAAACACAGAACTCGATGGCCTCTAACAGGACCAGAGGTAAGTAAACACGACAGACTCCTTGAAACAGTGATGTACCTCACGTGCTGTTAACTTGTACAACGCCACCAATCTAAAAAAAAAGCCCTAAATAGGCACAAAAAACCAAAAATAAAAACAAACAAACCAACCAACCAACCAAAAAAACCGAAAAGGAGAATTCCATCCATGATGTCTGACCATTAAATAAAAAGAAACGACACTTTTTCTTTTCTTCCACAGCTTCCTTAACGAGCGCTCGCTCCTCCCGCCTCGCCCCCAATCAGCTATCCGTGTTCTTCTCGGCCTCTTTGGAATGGATGATGTACATGAAAGTCTGCTCGATGGTGAAGTCCGGGGGCAGGCTGCCCTTGTGCACCCCTATGTGCTTGCTCATGAGGTTGAGCGTGGAGCTGTAGTGCCCGCACACGGTGCAGCGGTACATGAGGGCCCCCGAGTGCGTCCGCAGGTGGCACTTGATGGTGGAGCGCCCGCGGAAGAACTTGTGGCACACCTTGCACTGGTAGGGCTTCTCGCCGGTGTGGATGCGCCGGTGGTAGTTGAACTCGCTGGTGTGGGCGAACCTCTTCCCGCACACCTTGCAGCTGTACTTGCTGTTGCCCGGCTGGCTCTGCAGCGCCAGCTCCTCGCTCAGGAACTCCTCGGGCAGCTTCCTCTTGGGCAGCCCCTGCGGCTGCAGCCGCTCCCCGAATCCCGCCCGGATGTCCAGGCTCCCGCCGCACTTGTGCTGGCTGACGTGGTACCGATAGGCCGCCTCCAGCTTGAAGCTCTGGCTGCAGAAGTGGCACTGGAAAAGAGCCTCCTCCACGTGCTGGTGCACGGCCAGGTGCTTCTCCAGGAGCTGCCGGTCCACGAAGCTGTTGGCGCACACGGAGCAGGAGAAGACGGAGATGCCCAGGTGGGACAGGGTGTGCCACATCAGGCTGCAGAGGCTCAGGTGCCTCTGGTCGCACACGCCGCACGTCTGGCTCTTCAGGTTCACGTGCTCCAGGAGGTGGTTCCGGACGGTGTGGAAATCTTTGGCCAGGGGCTTCCCGCAGGCAGCGCAGGCCAGCTCGGGGCTGCCCCCTCCCCCAAACACGGCCACCTTCCCGGGCAGGGGGTCGCTGGGGTGGACGACGACGTTGTTGTCGAAGACCCCGTCCCGCCGGTGCAGCGTCAGCTGCCACTGGGTGAAGAACTTGGTCTCGCACATGTCGCAGGAGAAGAGGAAGATGCCGATGTGGGACAGGACGTGGGTGACCCTGGAGTTGCGGTCCTGGAAGTGGGTCTCGCAGACCTTGCAGTTCCCGGTGAGCAGGTCCACGTGGTCCCTGGCGTGCTGGCGGATCAGCTGGATGTTGGGCTCCAGCACCTTCTTGCACACCTGGCAGGGCATGGCCTTGCTGTCCCGGCCGTCGCTCTCGAAGGCCAGCTCCTCCTCGCTGTCGTCGCTCAGCTCAATCACCTCCTCGGACGGGCCCAGCTCTTCTCCAGCATCCTCAAAATGCAGCTCGGCCTCTCCCAGATCCTCCAGCTGGAGCTCATCCATCTGCTCGAATCCCTGCTCTTTGGAGTGGTCACTGTTGCTAGGGCAGGAGTTGCTGCCCATGGAGACATCCAGGGATGGATCAGCAGGGAAGAAGCCGCCCTTCCCGTAGTCGCCGTTGCTCTGGGGCTTGTACTGGGGGCAGGAGCTGCCGGTGGTCTGTGCCACGACATTCCCGCCGGGCTGGGCCCCCAGACCCACGGCCGGAGCGAACTGCCCCGGATCCGGCCCCTGCTCCGTCTTGGGAGGCTGCTGTGGATGCATCAGGGGAAGAGCCTGGCTGGCTTCGCCCACGGGATTCCTGTCATCCTCCTTGTAGGCGCCCGCCACGTCCCCGTGCAGGAGGTAATTCCGCTCGGGGCCGAAGTGCTCGGCGCCGCTCCGGAGGTCGCCCAAGGAGTGGCTCTGCTCAGAGGAGGTGCTGCTCAGCGGCCCTGCCCGGCCTTCCCCCACGGACAGGGAGGGCTGCCTGGGGATGGCCGAGCTCTCCAGGTCGGGGAAGGTGGAGTGGCAGGCCTGCAGCAGGTCCTCCATGCCCAGCCGCTCCGCCACCTCGTAGATGACGCCCACGTTGATGAGGTCCGTGAAGAGCTCCGAGGTGTACACGAAGCTCAGGATCTTCTCGAAGTTGGCCGGCGTGATGAAGTCCACCACGTAGGTCCTGGCAGCGTCCAGCCCCGTGTTCAGGAAGAGGTTCTGGAAGTAGCCGGCGGCGCAGGCCAGCACGGCCTTGTGCGCAGCGAAGGAGCGGGAGCCCACCAGGATGGTGACGTCGCACATGGTCTCGGAGAGCCGGCACTTGTTGAGTTCCTTCAGCAGGTTGTTGGGGTGGTTGGTGCTGTGCAGCTTGATCCTCATGCCCATCTTAGCAGCTGCTTGAGGGTCCCTCCTCCCGGTCAGCTTGGCCTTTACACCTTCATCGGCGGCGGGAGCAGGAGCTGTTGGGCAGCCAGGAGTGGCAGGGCAAGGGGCTCTGGAGAGGGGAAATGCAGAAAAACGGTAGCACTTAAACAACCAAAGTAACACCATTCTGGTCATACCTCCCCTTTTCCGCCTTCTGGATGAGCCACAGAGCAGCTGCTCAGCTGGAAATGGACTGAACCTGCCTTGTCACCTCACAGACCGACTTTTTAAGAAGTGAAAGGGCAGATGCACAAAGGGGCAAACTCAAAACAAAGAGCCACTGACTCTGCCCCAGGCAGCTGAAGGTCCCGCTGCTCTTTGGGCAGGGACGGAGACCCTGCTGACTCAGAGACCCAGCTGGAGCCTGTTCCAGCCATCTCCCCTCTTCCCGAGCCAGGGACAAGGCTCCTCTCCAGAGGGACGACACTCAGGCTCCACACACCGGTCAGATTCCTGTCCGGATCTCCTCCAGCCACCACCACTTCATTCCTGCACTTCAGATCCCACCTGCACCCACACGGAGACTCTCGGTTCCCAGGTGGGATCTCATCTCGGATCCTCTGTGTTCCAGCCTCGGGGGCTCTCCTGGGATTTCTCCTCTGCTGTGGCACCTCTCAGTGCAGATTCCCTGGCTGCCACCACACCTGTGGCACTGCACCGGCCATTCCCACCTGGGTGTGTCCCTCCAGCTCGTCCCGCTGACTTTGCTACCCCCTGTCCTGCTCATGGATGCTCCGGCAGCTCTTGGGACCCCACAAACTTACCCAGGGAGCTCTATCCCTAATTCCCAGCCTCCTCCTTCCCGGGATGGGGAACAGCGAGCCCGGAAGGCGGCAGAGAGCGGGAGTTTGGAGGGGGCAGGAGGGGACGGGGCTGCTCCTGCCCCAGAGCCAGGGGAAGGTCAGAGGGGCTGAGGATGGACCGTCCTCCCCCGGGGAAAACCGCCGGCAGCTGGGGAGGGCGAGGATGGCCGGGGAAGGCTCTGGAAGGCAAACGCTCACCAGGGACAATTCCTGCGGCGTGGGAATCCCTGTGGAGGGGATGGGACAGAGGGGAAAAGAGCGGGAGAAGGGATGGGGGCGCGGGGGGCAGCGGAAAGGGGGGCGCGGACGGGCAGGAGGGGGACGGGGAGTCGCGGAGCTGCTCGAGGAGGAAAGGGAGGAAGGAGAGGGGCAGCGAGGACCCCAGGGGGCCCAGGGGAGGGGAACACGGGGCCACGGTGGGGGGGCAGCAGAAAGGGCCCCGGGGAGCCACGAGGACGGCAGGAGGCCCCGGGGAGTTGGCGCGGGGTCCGCGGTGCTGGGGCGGCGGGGGGCCGGGGCCGCGGGCGAGAGTCGCTCCTTGCCGCCCGGCGCCCCGCACCATCCGGCCCGGCTCACACAAAGGCGCCGACCCGCCCCGCGCCCGCCCCGGCCCGCACCGCCTTCCGGGACCCGCCGCCCGCAGCGCCCCCGCGGGGCGGGGAGGACCCCGCGCGGCCACCGGCTGGGGAGGGGACACGGACACGCGCGGGGGGACACGGGCACGGGCGGGGGGACGCGGACACGGAGCGCTCCGGGGCAGGCACAGGTCGCTGCAGCCCACAGGCACGAGGACCCAGCCCCGCCGTCCCCACGGACACGTCCCTGCTGTCCCATCCGCGCGGGTTCTTTCCCGCAGCCCCATCCCCGTGGATCCGTCCCCGCAGCCCCATCCGCGCGGGCTCTTTCCCGCAGCCCCCATCCCCGGTGGGATGCCCCAACGCGGTGCCGGCGGCGCAGCCAAGACACAGAGACGGTGTTTGCGCGTGTCCCGCGCAGTCACGGGTGGGTGTTTAGCGGGGCAATGAGGGTATACACGGGTGCGCGGACACGCGCGCGGAGCGGGACGGCCGCGCTCCCGGAGGGGTCCCACGATGGCTCCGTGGGCGGCGGCGCCCGGGACGCCCCCACAGCCGGTCCCGCGGCCCCCGGGCGTGGGGGGCTCGTCCCGCGACTCATAGGGCTCGCAGCGGAGCCTGACCGGGCGCGGGGGTCCCCGGTGAGCACCGGGGGGCCGGGCCGCCCTCTCCCCGCCCCGCCGCTCGCCCGGGCTCCGCCGCCCGCTTGCCCATGAGCCCCACGAAGAAATCGTGCATGTCCCCTGCGGAGAGACCGGCCGTCAGCGGCCCCGGCCCCGCCGGCGGCACCGGCCCCGGCCCCGGCTCCGGGCGGGACTTACGCTTCTGCGGCGCCGCGGGGGGACCTGGAAGAGACCGAAGCGGGTGAGAGGGGCCCGGGCGGACCGACAGCCCCCCAGCCCGAGCCCCCTCCCGCCCCTCACCGGCGCCCTCCTCCCGCAGCAGCTCCAGCGCGGCGGCGGCAGCGGCGGCGGCCCCGGGGCTGCCGCGGGCGCTCCAGGGCAGCGGCTCCGGGTCGGGCATCCCCTGCGGGAGCGAAGCAGATGAGCGGGCTGGGAAGGGATCCGAGGGGCTCCTGAGGGTCCGGGCTCCGCCCGCCGCGCCCCCTCACGACGGCCGTACCTGGGCGGGGGGCGCGGGACCCTGCGGGGCGGCGGCGGGGCGGCGGCGGGCGAGGGCGAGCGGCAGCGCCAGGACGAGCAGCACCGCCAGCACCGGGCGGCTCCTCATCCTCGGCGGGGGTTTGGGAGCGCAGTCAGCGGCGGAGCGGCGGGGTCCGGGGCCGCCCCGAGCCGGTGCCCTCTCGACGGGGCGGCCCGGGACGAGCCCGGGACCGGACCGGGCTCTGGGGAGGGAAAGCAGCGAGACGGAAGACGGGGGGCGATGGGACCCCCGCTCGGGTCCGCGAGGGAGGGACGGCGCAGGTGTCCCGGGGAGGGGGCTGCACCCCGGGGGTGCCTTACAGGGGCGTGGGGGGGGCTGTTATGGGGGGTGCAGGGGGACACGGCCCTGCTGTGGCCCCTGGGGTCCCGTGTCCCTGCTCGTGCCCGTGGGACCACGTCTGTGCTGTCACACACTGTTCAGACTGCAAACAAGCACAAACGTGGGCACAGCGGGCATGGGCACAGCTCGGGCTCTGTCCTGCACGTTCACCCGTGTCAGCACACAGCTGTCCCCTGGCACACACATCTTGCCCACAGCCATGCTTGCTTCCAGAGCCCCCCCAAACCCTCCCCGAATTCAAGCAACACCTTCACCCCCTCTCTCCTCCCTCCCGTGCCCTCCTGAACCTTCCCCTCCTCCCTGTGCTGTCCCTCAGCCCCAGCGGGACAGGGACAGGGCGCAGCAGCCCCCACAGAGGCTGGGAGATCCCCAGGGCTGCAGGCCATGAGGACACAGACCTGCCGAGCCCTCCGGTGCTGCCTGGTGCGTGGTCAGGGGCCGAGGGACCCTCGTCACGGGTGGCTGCAGAGCAGGGATGCTTGGAGGATCGGTGGGCAGCGGCGGTGGGCAGTGGTGGTGGTGGGCAGCTCTGGTGGTGGTGGGCAGCAGCGGTGAGCAGTGGTGGTGGGCAGCTCCGGTGGCTCCCCCAGCACGGGCTCAGCCGGGAGGCGAAGTGCGGCGGCACCAGCTGCCGCGCGGTGTTAAATAAGGGGCTCTGCCCATGGCACGGCGTGGGTGGGTGAGAGGAGACCTGCCAATGGGGGCTGGGGGGGGGTGGAACCCCCACCCTGCAGCTTCACGCCCACGCAGGCACCGTGACACCGACAGCACCCGTCGCACATGCAGAGTCACACAGCGACACGCGTGTGCCCACGCGCTGCACCGGCTCCCTGCCCTGGGCTGGGGGTCAGCACGCGGGCACCGTGCCCACGCAGCCCCCGGCCCCTCGTTATGGGGACACGCACCCCATCACAACGCGGCTGTTGGCACACGTGGGAACACGCAGGGTGGGATGGCCCTGGCTGGATGCCGGACTCTGCAGCCGGGATTTGGGGTTCTCGCAGCACAGGGGGATCAGCCCTGGCTCCCGCCACGCACACACGATGCACACACGTGTTCATCTGCGTGCACAAACACACGTGTGCCCGCACACACGCGCCTCACACCCTGCCCAACTCCCCCAGCCCCACTCCGGTGCTCCCGGCCTGCCCGCTCCCATGCCAGGATGTGCCAAGGTGGAAGATGGGGAGGGAAACTGGGGGGGGGAAGTGGAGGGGTGCGAGGCAAGGGGGAACAACTGGGCCAAAAAGTGAGAGCCACCGACTTCATCCCAAGCAACAGGTGGCTGCGGCTGCTCCGGTGGCTGCGGCTGCTCCGGTGACTGCGGCAGCCCCCGGGGAGGGCGGCCGGCAGCAGCGGCTCACGTGGCAGCACAGCCCGGGGCAGGGCAGCATCTGCAGCGCCGGGAACGTTAATTAAACCGGAGCCTGGCCAGAGATGGTCTAATTAATTAATAACACCTACTTGTGCGGTGCCAAGTGCGACGCAGCCGTGAAGAGCCGCTGGCGCCCCGGGCTTGTTTACGGCTGTCGCCCCTCGCCGAGGGAAGGTCCCTGAGCGGGGACGTGACGGGGCCCGTGGGGGGAAGCGGGGAGCCCTCGGCTCTGGGGCACGTCGGGGCCGTCAAGGGCCCCCACGCACACGCACGTGCCCCCCCACGTGCGGGAGCTGCCCGCACACGCTCCCCCTGCACGACAAACCGTGTGCCGGGGCCCACCTGGGAGCTGGTGCTGATGGTGACGTGACGGGGAGCTGGCAGCTCCCGAAGGTGACGCGGGTGATGTGTGGGGACAGGAAAAACATCCTCTCCGAGAGCTTGATCAGTGCAGGAGAGAAAAGGCGAGGGGGACACACGCCCTGGCGCGGGAGCTGTGGGCTCCTGGGGGCTGCAGGACTGGCGGGGGTCCTGCGGGTCCTGGGGGCTGCAGCGTTGTCACTGGGGCTGGGCAGTGACTCCCCTCTGACCCCTGTCCGTGCCACCAGTTCCCAAATGCAGCTCCAGTGCCAGCCCGTGTCAGGAGCAACCTGCATGGGGGGTCCCGCAGCGGGGTGGGGGACCCTGGGCAGGGGGGACGGGGCTGGCCAAGCAGGCAGGGGGTGCCAGGGACCTCATGTGCAGCTGCCCACGGCTGCCCAGAAATTGCCTCTGCAGCAGCACGAGCCGGGAGCCGCTGAATGGGAAAAGTGGCCGCAATTTGGGGCCTTTCCAATCCCCAGGAGCCGAGCGCCGGCCATAGTCAGGAGGCAGGAAAGGCGGGAGGCCGTGTGGGGCTCTGCCCCCCAGCTCCAGCAGCGTGGCACCGTGTTCTGGGGCTCTGGCATGATGGGATCCCCCCCACCCACCTGGAACGGGGTCACCCACCGTGACACCACCCCGGTACTGACACCTCAGCATCCGTTTAATGGGTTTGGAGTGATCCCTGGGCACTGCCAGCACCTGGTGGGGCAGGGAGCTGACACAAGGGGGGGTCAGGGGTGCATGGGTGGGGGCCCCTGTGGAGGGTGGGGGTCCCCTCAGTGCACCAGGACCTCCATCTTATGGCTGCCCTTCTTCTTGCAGATGGGGCCGTCGGTGCCGGCCTTGGGCGACTCCACCACGGTGACAGACATGTCGCCCTTTGGGAAGCGGGTGGAGAACCTGGAAGGAGGGGCAGGATGGAGGGGAGGGAGCAGGATGGAGAGGTGGGGTGGGGACATGCCAGGCCCCCCAGTGCCCAATTTCCTGCCCTGGTGACACCCATCTCTCAGGGCTGCCTCCCATTACAGCCCTGCCCCATCCACATTAGTCCTGCCCACAGCAGCCCCTTGTATTCCTGCCCTTCAGGCCCCGCCCCTGAGAACCACACCCACTCCAGCCCCGCCCATCACAGCCCCGCCCATCACAGCCCCGCCCATACTTGTCCGTGATGTGCAGGGTCAGTGCCTGCCCCGTGGTGGCCTCCAGGGTCTGGTGTAGGCGGGTGACCAGCTCGATGAGGTGGTCACTGACCAGCAGGAAGTCGCCCTTGGCCCCCACCGTGGAGACCTGTGGGGCGAGTGGGGGGTCAGCCCTGCTGGGGACCCCCTAAGCCCTCAGGGACCCCCCTCCCCGGGTACCTCCTTGAGGTGCAAGGCCAGGAAGCCGTCGGAGAAGCGGGTGACGGAGACACCGCGGATGTCACTGAGGCTGAGCACGGTCTTGGGCTGGGCGGCCTTGGGGTCAGCCAAGACCAGGTACTCGGTTGTGAGGAGCAGCAGGCGCGGCACCGTCTGTGGGCAGGGTCAGGGGGGACATGGGCAGGGTGTCAGTGTGGTCCTGTAAACCCTCCAGTGGGGACAGGGCGAGGCAGGGGCTTACCTTGCCGCTGGCTCTGTTCACCTTCCTCACGGTGTCGGCCACCAGCACCTTGTCCTTGGCCACGGCGTGGAGCTTCTGGTACTTGGGGTTCTGCTTCAGCCCCAGGTAATCGCTGCGGAAGGGCTGCTGCACGCTGGGGATGAGGCCGTCAGCCCCCGCTGTCCCGAGCCCCCTTAACCCCCCACAGCCCCCAACCCTGGCACCTTTTGGAGTAGAGGGTCTTCTTGTCCTTGAAGAGCTCGCTGGCGCAGAGCTTGGCCTGCAGCTGGGCCCGGCGCGGCGCCGGCAGCTGGTCCCGGTACTTCTTGCACTGCCGAGGGAGGGGGGGATTCGGTGCCGCCCAAGACCCCCGGGGTGGGCTGGCACGGAGGGGCACCAGATCCCAACGGGCATTTTCCCCCCACCTGGCCCTGCCCCCACCTTCCAGTGGTGGAAGATGCTCTTCAGCTCCTGGTCGGCCTCGCCCAGGAACTTGTAGGGTGCTGGGGGCCAGGTCCGGTCCATCACCGACAGCGGCGGGAGGTTCTTGGCCAGCCCCACCAGGTACCTGCACACCTGGGGGTGGCAGTGCAGCGGGGGGTCAGGAGGGTCCAGCCCCAGGGTGGGGCGCTGGGAAGGGCCCCTGTCCCCCCGGCCCCGCTCACCAGGCGCCGGTAGATGAAGTTGGCCAGGAAGGTGCTGGCGCTGGTGCGGAAATACCTCCTGTACCTCCTGCGCGCCTGCGGAGACGGTGCCAGTGAGGGTGGGGACACTGGACATCGCCACCACCCCACTGCCAGCCCCCCAGGACACGGGTGTCCCACCCCCTGTCCCCATTTGGCCCCAGCAGACAGGACAGTGGCTCCAGCCCGACAGGGTGGGCGGGAGCTGGGTGGGCAGACAGACAGACAGCCCGGACACAGCACACGGACAGCAGGACAGAGGCAGCAGGGGCCTGGCCCCGTTACCTGGCACCCTCTCCAGTGAGCGGCGATGGTCGTGGCGGCCGCGTGGCGTTGGCTCTGGTTCTTCAGCTCCCGGAGGAGCCGGCGAGACTGCGGGGGCAAGAGCCCAGGGGGCCCAGGGGGGAGACACCAACACAGATATGGAGCAAGAGGGAGAGGCAGGAGAGAGGCAGGAGAGAAGGATGGAAGATGGGGAGAGGAGATGAGGACAAATCCGGTCCCACCATGGGGCACACAGAGGTCCCGGTCCCACCATGGGGCACAAGGAGCCCCCGTTCCTCCCCACCCCATGCCCCCCACCCTCCTGCCCACACCAGCAGACCTGCCAGCCCCAAGAGGCCCAGCCCTCACCTTCCAGCCCCGCGCGTACGCCTGGAGGATCAGTGCCGACCGCTTCGTCTGCTTGTACCGGTTCTTTTGCTGCAGGGGGAGAGGGAGGATGAGCTGGGGCGGCTTGGGAGAGCCAGGGGACGAGGGAGAGCCAGGGGACGAGGGACGGGCAGGGGAAACGTGGCCAGGACTGCCCTTCCTCACCATGTGGCCCCGGAACCAGGCAGAGATGAGGATCTGGCTCTTGCGCATCAGCTGGTACTGGGTCCGGCACCGCCAGCCCCGGACCATCTTCTGGATGAGGGTGACGAGCTGGGCCACGCGCTCCTGGCGCCGCCGCTCCAGGTCGAAGAGCTGGGAACAACCACGGTGAGCGCCGGGGCACCGAGGGGGGACAGGGACCCCGGCCAGAGCCACTACTGGGGCTGCAGCATCGTCCAGGAGCCCCCCCAGGGCGAGCTTGGATCCCCCGGACTGCCCCTTTCCCACACTCACCGTCCGTGGCGAGCGGATGAAGATCTTGGTGTGGCCGAAGGCCAGCTCCTCCTTGGGGTACGCCAGCTCTGCCAGCAGCGCCTCAGCCCCCTCCCTGCACCGGGGCACAGACGAGGCCAGTCAGAGCCCCCCCGGCAGCCCCCCGGCCCCACGGTCCGGCCCGGTCCCATTACCTGTCGCTGCCCTGCCCCATTACCTGTCGCTGCCCGGCCCCATTACCCGTCACTGCCCGGCCCCATTACCCGTCGCTGCCTGGCCCCATTACCTGTCGCTGCCCGGCCCCATTACCTGTCACTGCCCGGCCCCATTACCTGTCGCTGCCCGGCCCCATTACCTGTCACTGCCCGGTCCCATTACCTGTCGCTGCCGGCCCAGCGGGGCCAGGTGCGGGTGCCGAGCATCTTGTAGCGCT